GAGCAAGCAGGGTTCTGCAAAGGATTCAGCACCATCGACCATATCCACACGATAACCAAGCTCATTGAGGTTTCTCAGGAGTTCAAGATGCCGCTCTGCTTAACGTTCATTGATTTAAAGAAGGCCTTTGATTCTGTTGAGACGGAAGCAGTCATTGAAGCCCTAGCCAATCAGGGCATCCAAACCCAATACATCAGGATCCTCCGTGAGCTGTATTGCGGATTCACTACCAGGATCTCACCATTCTACAAAGAAGTGATCCTTGATGTCAAGAGAGGGGTGCGGCAGGGTGATACCATTTCACCGAAACTCTTCAGTGCCACCCTCGAGAACATCATGCGACGACTGGAATGGGAAGGAATGGGAGTGAAGATAGATGGTCGGCAACTACACCACCTCCGCTTTGCTGATGACATTGTTTTAATAACACCAAACATCAGCCAAGCGGCACAAATGCTGGCCAACTTCGACCATGAGTGTGGAAAGGTAGGACTACAGCTGAATCTTACGAAGACAATGTTTATGAGAAACAGCCTTGTTCCTGACGCCCCATTCGCTCTCAATGGAACGGCCATCTCTGAATGCAACAGCTATGTGTACCTAGGTCGAGAGGTCAACATGACAAATGACCTGGCACCCGAGCTGCGCAGGAGGAAGAGAGCGGCTTGGAACGCCTTCAAGAACGTTGAAGAAATAGCTAAGAGGACGAAGAACCTCCGGCTCCGGGCACATCTCTTTGATTCCACTGTTCTTCCTGCATTAACATATGCCTCAGAGACCTGGGCCCTACGCAAACAAGATAAGAACACTATTCAGGTTATTCAGGTCTCCCAAAGAAGAATAGAAAGAGCTATGCTTGGAATATCACATTTCACTCAAATGAGAGAACGAATCCGGAGTTCTGACATCCGTCGAAGATCAAGGATCAGGGATGCTGTCTCATTTGCTAAGGTGTTGAAAATCAGATGGGGGATGGGGGGATGGGAGGATGGGGGGCGAGGGATATTATCCTGGTGGTGGAAAATGGGCACTGGTGGAGGGATGGGTATTTGATCGGGGTATGACCGAGATCCAAGCACAAAAATTTGTAAATCTACAACTGTACCTCATGTCGTTTCACTAATAAAAAAGAAAAAAAAAAAGAAAATCAGATGGGCTGGTCACGTAATGAGATTTAAAGACGACCGTTGAACTAGAGCTGTTACTGATTGGATTCCACGGGATGTCAAAAGACCGCGTGGCCACCCACCTACCAGATGGTCAGACTTCTTCGTCAAGATCATGAACGATCTGTTTGAGGCCCTTCATGTTCCCGGAGCGAACAGATGCCATTGGGCTACACTAGCACGCGACAGGGACAAATGGAGACGTTACTGGCGCCCGCTGGAGCAAATCGACGACTAACGGGAAGTTAAGTGATTAAGTGAAGTGAATGTCCCAAAGTATAGAAAGTAAGAAGGAACGTGCCTGCTATAGAGGAATGAGGTAGCGTGGAGTGGGGATGGTAGAATCGATACTAGGGACATTGGTAGTGTGAAAGCTACACTGGTAGAGGGATGAGTGTTTGATCATTGTATAACTGAAACTCAATTATGAAAGTTTTGTAACTGAATCTCAGAGAAATTCAATAGTAAATAAATAAATTTTAAAAAGGTGATGCCTCACCTTAGTATACATTTAAATTTTCTTGGTATGCTTGTTTGCATTGGTTTAGTGTGCACAGCCAACAGGGCTTGGGATCTGTTCCTTGCTCTGTCTTCAGGCATTGCTCAGGGGACAATACATACTGCAAATCAGACCTGGACCTCTCACATGCAAAGTATGCACTCCAACCCTCTGAGATCTTTCTGTGTGTTTTTGAACTCTGCTTTTCTTGCCTAGTTTGTTTGATTTCCCTCCTCTCCCTTCCCATTCCCTTCTTTTTTTCCCATCTCTTTTTTCTACCTACCTCTGCCTTTCTTATTTAACCTTTCACTTAAAAATAGTCATGTTGTTCTTTACTGCTTCATGTTTTATTTTGAATTGGTGACAAGTTGGTTTTGTTTACTCTGGGATATCTTGTTGCCTTTTCTAGCACAGCGGTAGGGCGGTTGCCTTGCATGCAGCCAACATGGCGGCCGACCCGAGTTCGATTCTTCCGCCCCTCTCGGAGACCCCGGCAAGCTACCGAGAGTATCTCGCCCGCACGACAGGGCCTGGCAAGCTCCCCATGACGTATTCGATATGCCAGACACAGTAACAACAAAGTCTCCAATGGAGACGTTACTGGGCCTGCTCGAGCAAATCGATGAACAATGGGAGGGCCTTTACCTTTTTTACTTTTCTTTTTTTTAATTCTCTGCCTTTATTTAAACTTCAGATTCTTAGAATGCCTTATTCATTCTCTTCTTTGCTGTGGTATCTCTCAGGTAGCTTATGCCCTCTGTATTCTGCTGTCTCATGGATTGATGGTTTTCTGTCTGTGCTCCCTTGTACCTTTGATGATTTCTCTTCACTGTCCTTTTGAATAAAAATCACTCTTTTCTGGGTGCCATGTTCACTAATGTACAGATAACTTTTAACAATGGTCACTCTTAACAAATAAATGAAACTGTTGTTTTAAGATTGTTTCCATTTCCATTTTCTAAAAACAATAATTGATATCAAGTATTCAATTTGAGTTCAATGACTATTGAATTGGGAAAAGATGTACCCAATCTGGGAACTGAGGCTTGGGCCAGAAACTTCAGTACATGATTGACAAGAATCAATTAGGCAGTATCTCTAAAATATGTTCATACTCTGAATTTTCGAAGCAACCTGAATATAATTAACTTTTATTTGCTGACTCCGAATCATTATTAATGTAAAGTTGTAAAGTGAAAATTGATGTCTGAAGATTACAACATTTAGAGACATGAGTACATGTAAACATTAAATATTGAAAAAAATTTTAAATGATAAATTAAAAAAGCAAAGATATTTTGTTCATTTTTAAATTTCTGTTGCTAATTGACTTTTTAAAGACATACCCAAATCTATTTCTAATAGTTGGTGTATATTTTAAAACTTTTTAAAGACATACCCAAATTTAGTTCTCATAGTTGGTGTAGATGTTGCAACTGTCTTTTGTCTCATTCTTTTATTACCCCCTTTGTACTGTATACTCTTATCTCCAGCCACCATAAATCCACTTTAAATAAGTTAGCAATGGATAAAATTAATAGAATTTCTCTAAGAAAGAAAATAAATTATAAGTGGCACAGGTTTGTCATCTTTTTATTAGTTGTGTTTTCTTCAACATCACAGAAGAGAATGTCATTCATGCATCTTTTGACAGAGAAGAAAATGGGTTTTTCTCTGTTTGAAAAGTTCACTTTAAAGGTTTTTGTGATGACAGCTTTCAAGTAGGCTTTCTTTCCCTAATGAATTTCCTGCAGTGGCTCTTCAGGGTTTTTTGGGTTTTTTATTTTGTTTTGCTTGGGTCTTTTCCTACTTAGATTCATCCTGTATGGATATAAAAGATAAAATAAAAATGCACATTTAAATCACTGATGGATCAATAAATAAAGTATTAGGGGAAGGTTCCTGGGAGTTAATTAGAGTGGAAAGCAAAGACAGGACATTGAAAATATGGCACAGACTTTCTGCACCACTCTGATTATTTTGTGTTATAGACATTCCTGTGCATCTTCCCAGGTGTGAGTACAGGTGATGGTGACAAATCACTGGGAGATCAGGATAAATGCATGGGTTAGATATAGTTCATATGCGGTTGTATTCAGGCATTTGCTCTCTTTGCTTTTCCTCCTCAGCTTGCTGAAGGTGAATCTTAACTACGGTTGTATTCAGCTTACTGGATGAAGGACATTTCTTTATGTCCAGGAAATTAAAGCTATTCAGGCATGCACCTGCAGCATATTTAGAAAAATACCTAGGGTACCATTTTCATTTCATATTTGTAGTTTCTAGTAGTATAAATATGACTAATGGTTAAGTCACTTTATTAGCATAACTTTTATTTAAAAAAAATAGAAAAATACTTCAAGTGTAAGATTAGTGTGTAAATACAGCAGGTGGAATGATAAAAGTTTTATATAGAGTGAAATAAATATAATGTGTATATGATAGAGTCATTGTTGGCATTAACCGGATTATGTGAAATTTATCTGTTTCACCATAAGCAACTTAGGTGTCCATTATATTAATGCAGAATCGTTTTAAAATGTAATCATATGAAATGCAAATCTAATAAGCTGTTTAATTAGTATGGTTTCATAATTTTATTGGAGTCTTCAGAGGGACTTTACCTAATCTAAAGAGATTTTCATGCAGGTATATTAGCTCAATAAAATAGGATTAAAAAGGGTTATTTAAAGCTACTTAATCTCTAATTCCAGAGCAAATGAATATGTATACTTTATTTGAAAGAATTGGACATTCATTATCATTAATGACAGAGTAATGTAAGGAAATTAAAAAAACATAAGATTTTAGATTTCACACTTCATATAGAAATGTGGGGATAGATGACAGGTTTGGTGTTTTCCCAAAACTATCAGTTTCAATTATGAAAGCTTTGTAACTGTATTTCATAATAATTCAATTCAAAAAAAGTATAAGTTTAGACATTGTGAAATTCATCAAATGTTTCAATTCTGTTTTATTTAGCCAAACATTTTACTAAAAATAATGATGAATTAATATCACAATATATGCTATCATAAAACATCTGTCTAGATTTACCTAAATGGAAAATTATGCCAAAGCTGAATTTCTAGCCTCTGCAAATAAGTCTAAAATTATGTATTCTACTAGTTATAATCCTCAATTAATCCAGTATAAAATTTCATATAACTTTATGTATGAAATAGGTACTGCTGTTCTAGTGATAATGATGTCCATCAGTGTGATGAAATTGAATGTGCAGATTGCTCTACCTGTAAAATAAAGATTAAAAATGTTAAAATGTATAATTATGTTGGATTCAATGCCAATAAACTCTCTTTGTTTTATTGTAGCTCTCGGCCTTAGAGAGGCAGATCTTTGACTTCCTTGGCTTCCAGTGGGCACCTATTCTTGGAAATTTTCTGCATATAATTGTTGTCATATTGGGTTTATTTGGAACCATTCAGTACAGGCCTCGTTATATTGTAGTGGTAAGTATTCTTTTATATCATCCCTCTTCATATAAATACTGCTTTTAAAAAAAAGTTGAAAATAATTTGAGTTCTTATATAATGCAGAATTATTGTACTAATTGTCATGTATTGAATTATACTATGAGTTATCTGGGTTATCCATAAAAGATGACACAGTGAATGTTTATTACAAGGTAAAACTAGCATGATAATCAGTGTCAGATTTAGTGTGGCACAGAGGGTAACTGGATTCACCTTTCACAGGAAAATTTAAAATGGATCTGGATTGTATACAAGTTCTTTGAGTCATACTGCCATGTAAATAGACAAAAGGACATTTAACTGACATCTATCACTACCCTAAAGAGAAAACCCACCTGGACAGAACTGGTTGCTAATTGATGAAGAATAACTTAATTTTTTTATAGACTTACAAATTTTTGTGCTTGGGTTTCAGTTATACAATGATCAAGTACCCATCCCTCCACCAGCGCCCATCCTCCACCACCATGGGTCCCAGCATTCCTCCCACTCCCCAACCCCCCATCCCACCCTGCCTCTGTGGCAGGGCATTCCCTTTTGTTCTCTCTCTCTCTCTCTCTCTCTCTCTCTCTCTCTCTCTCTCTCTCTCTCTCCTTTTGGGTCCTGTGGTTTGCAAGAGAGACATTGAGTGGCAATCATGTTTGGTCTATAGTCTTTCAGTATACTTCTCCCATCCTGGGAGGATCCTCCCAACACCCTTTATTTGGTGCTCTCTTCTCTATCTGAGCTTCTTTTTCCCCTAGCACGTGTGGCTGGCCTCCAAGTCATGGAGCAAAATTCCTGGTACTAATCTCGGCCACTCCTGGGTGTTAGTCTCCCATTTTAAAAATGGGAGATTCTTTCTTAAAAAAGAATCTCTCATAAAGTGGCTTTATGAGAATAACTTAATTTTAATTGTCCTAGAACATTATAAATGCATTTCCGTTCTCTCACTATACATTTATTGAAGACCTACTGTCTTGTTTCTGGGCAAGATAGAGAAAACAGCATAAATTACAGCATTCTTGCTCTCTAGGGACTTCTGCTATTAGCCATAGAAAGGCACAGGAGTCTCAAAAGATGGTGAAATGACTGTGAATGAGGTTGGAAGAAAACATAAATGAACCAGCTTCAGCAAAATGGGAGTGGAACATGCACGCTTCTTTGTTGTCCTCCTTCTACTCCTCCCACTTCATCTTCTCACGTCTGCAGCTTCCACTTGCTGTTTGTACCCTACCTCTAGCAATATGTCCTTAGTCCATTGCATGCACACTTCCTTGAACATACTTTAGTTGTCATTTTTCACCTTGCTACTATGTCTGTACCTTATTTATAACTTGTTTGCATGTATATCTGTCCAAGGAAACAATGAGTTCTTTGAAAACGTGGAATGGAATAGGGAAATCGACAAATACTCATTCCTTCACGAATCTAGTTCCATGCCTATTTAGAGAGTCCTCTAATGAGAAGACAAGCCTCACATTTTTCTGTCATATCATTTTCTTTGTATCTCTCACTTCCATCTTTCTTGTGTGTATAGAGACAATTAGACCTTTCAGAATCTTCAAAGAAAAATATCTACAAGATAAACAATCCATGTTTTCGCTCATTTTCATTTTTTTCATAGTATGCCAAACCAAATCTCTTTTATTTCACTTGCTATCTTACTTAAGACCTTCTCCAGGAAAGGAGAGACAAAGCAGTAAACTAACAATCCAAATATGTTATTCAGTTTAATCTTGTCTATAAAAGTGTGCCAATACAGACCTATAGGATATTTATGCAGATTAAGTATGGCCTGTTCTTGTCCAGGTATTCCAGATAAAGTGGCAGAATTGCCTTACCTTTGCTATATGGCCTGTCCTTGTCCAGGTATTCCAGATAATAAGTGGCAGAATTGCCTTACCTTTGCTATTGGTGGGTTCATAGAGTAGCTGTATCAGAATCTGTGCTCTATTTCCACCACTGAAATTCAAATGTTATGATTGCTATCATTGCTGTATGCTTTTATATTGCAAATTATCCAGACCTATATTCCTCAGTTGATTATAGAATAGTATGGGGTCCCAGAGTTCCGTTTATGCTAATATAAGTATGAATTTTCTGTTTGGAAGAAACACCAGACGCATCATGAAGTGAGAAGCTGCATAACATAATTATTGGGAAGGGAACTTAAGCTATTTTAACTTTCTCATACCACTGCTTACCTGGTCACAGGTAACAGCATCCTAGACCCCACGTTAGAAAAAGTGAGAAAACCATGGGTATTTTGACAGAAGGTACAGTTTCAAGACACTCACACAATTGGTATAAAGTCCTGGATTTCAGGAACGGAACATGCACTGAACCTGAGGAAGGGCAGTCCCCTGCCCTAGGGCACAACAGGAGGTGGAGAACAGGCTTAGTAGTTAAGTGGTTAGGAAAGACATTTTCAACTTTTGGTGGACTCAACTCTAAGTAATTTTTTTTAAAATAGGTCCCGAAGCAAAAACAAAAGCAGAAACTTTCAGTGGAAACTCAAAACTCATGTCTTTATTTTCGACTTTGGGAGCAGAATTCCCATGCTCTCGGATGTCTAGGCAGCAACGAACTCTAGGTGCTTTTCAAAAAAGGGGCAAGGTGCTTGCCTTACATGGAATTGATTCTGGTTCAGTCTCTGATATTGCAGATGGTTCCTCCAGTATTTCCAGGAGTGTTCGCTGAGTGCAGAGCCAGAAGTAAGCCCTGAGCCCCTCCAGGTGTGGTCCCCAAAACCAGTAATTGTATTTATAATTTTAAAATAAATATACATTGGTATTTTTCTCATCGCACGGTGTCACAGTTTTATAAGCATGCTTTAGAAAGCACCAGCTTTCCAATAATAATGTAACGAGATCTATGTCAGAAATTCATACTGACTTCTCACTAAGTAGGAAAAAAAGGTTTTGATTATGGGATATTTTTCTCTCCAAATCGCCCATGATATTCTTAGTACTGGCTTCTCTTATTGACTAAGGCATAGCCAATAATGCCAGTCAAATTTAGTCAATTTCTACCTAATAGACACTTTGGAGGACAGAAACACCGCTGCTGAGTCGCTGGAGTTTCTGGCCACACTAGGGTTTATCATTATTGAACTTAAATTATGAATCATCCTGTGAAAATGAGTGAGGCCAAAGAACAAGCTATCCAATATCTACCGAGAAGCTTTAAACTCCGTAGAGTAGAAATTGAGTTTATATAAATGGTTCTTCCCCTCATATCTTCTGTGCTTTCTAACCTCCTTTCCTTATGATCGGTATCATACCAGCCACCAGTCTTGCTGGATGATTTGCATTTCCCAGAGACTGCATGCTGTACCTTGTCACTCAGCTTCTACTGGAACATGCTGTTTGTCTTACCCACTTGGAAGATTCTTAGTGGTCCTCAACTGAGTATGCATCTCTCATGAGTCTTAGCTGACCACCCGATACACCTTATTCCTTTCCCCCCTACTCCCTTAGATCCTGGTGACTATCTTACCACCCTGCACAGTTGCCACTCTCGATTCTAGGCCATCTCTTTCATTTACTGTTCTCCTGAAGGGGGAACACTGAAGTATTGTAGATTAATCATGGTATGCACAGACCTTGAAAGTGCTTAAAACTTGGTTGAGTAAATAATGAATAAAAGGTTATTGACTGAATAATTTTATAGGATGGTCCAGACAGTAATTCATTGCTTTCGAGTATATCTGTTTTCAATAAGAGATACCAGCATTTCGCCATTCTATCTTAATTTGAATTCAAGGAGTTTCCTAAAAGGCAAATGAGAACTGGTCTAAAGAACTGAATTTGCCAAGGATGGGGAGTAAGAGACGGACCGAAGTCGACCCTGAGGAACTGTTGGGGGGTGGGGGGGTTGTAGACACTAGTTGACTTAGGGTGTGTTGTCGTAAAGTTTTGACATGACACCCTATCATTAACAGTAATTTAAATCATGGTTCTTCAAAAGAAAAGAAGTATATTTTGCTCTCTCTGAACCTAGCATTAGCTGACTTACTCCTCAATATATTTTTCTAAGAAGTCGAATGCCCTTGGCACCTGCCACAGTAATTAAGGAGATCCATTTGCAAAGAATATTAGAATAATCCATTCAAATCACCAGAGTACTTATTCTCCCATCAGACCCCATCACTGTGGACACGGTACAACTCACTATTTGCATATTTACTATTAGAACACAAAAATCAATGTGTTGTATTTCACTGATTAAAAAATACTTTACGTTTATATGTCTTTTATCTTTTTTTTTTTTAATTGAGTCACTGTGAGATGCACAGTTACAAATCTGTCCATGGTCGGGTTTCAGTCATACAGTATTCCAACACCTATACCTCCACTGGTGTACATTTTCTACCAACAATGTCCCCAGTTTCTCTTCCTCCACCCTTCCCCCAGCCTGTCTCTCTCTATGGCAAAAACTCTCTCTCTCTCTCCCTCTTCCTCTCTCTCTGTCCCTCTGTCCCTCTGTCCCTCTCTCCCTCTCTCCCTTCCTTTTCCTCTCTCTCTTTGGACTCCTGCTTCCTCCTTTTCCTCCTCCCTCTGTCCAGAAGCCAGCCTGCCTCCATCTCCATCAAGTCTCAAAGAGCAATTGAGCACTCTACTGACTGCGCCCCGGCTGGCCATAGCCCTGGTGACTTACTCCTGTCTCTCCCCTCTCCACAGGCTCAGTGAAACGAATGAATTTGAACTTCTTCATCTTTGAAACTCTTTGATTTGTTTTTAGTTCTGTTCTGTTTGGAGGCTTGGTGGGGGGTGCTCCCCCTTGATGCTTCCCCCGATGGGTTTGGCACCCTGGCCAGTGCAGGGCCACACAGTCCCGGCTCTCGCCTGCTCCCTCTGTGTGTCTCATGTGCTTCTACCTTTCATGGTTGGGTTCCTTCATGTTGAGCCTCCCATAGAAGAAAGAACCCTAATCTCTGAACAAAAAGGAAATTAAAACAAAATTAAGAGAAACATAGTTTTTATATATACATATAGACTTAAATATACATATGTACATATACATATCCACTGTCCACTTTCCTTCCATTGTTCATCAATTTGCTTGAGCAGGCACCAGTAATGTCTCCATTGTGAGACTTGTTACTGTTTTTGGCATATCGAATACGTCACGGATAGCTTGCCAGGCTTTGCCATACAGGCGGGATACTCTTAGTAGCTTGCCAGGCTCTCCAAGAGGGGCGAAGGAATTGAACTCGGGTTGACAGCGTGCAAGGCAAACACCCTACTCACTGTGCTATTCACTCCAGCCCATATATATGTATATTATATATATATGTATATTTATTTATTTATACTCCCACCCTCCCTTCCTAAACTGACTTTCTCTGGGAAAAGCAGTTCACAGTTCTTCATTTTCTCCCCTCCAACCCAGCCCTCTTCATGTTTTTAAAATAAATTTTTGCAAAGAAAAAAAAAGGAAAAACATTTCCTAATACATAATAAATTAATAATATAATTAATTCATAATGCTAACATACTTAGACATTGTTGAATGTGATTGGAAGACATTTTAACATTATAGAATCTATGCTGATTTATTTATTACTGTTTCCTATTAATTTATCTAACTAAAAAAATTTATAATAACGTTATACATATAATTATTTTACAGGTGCACGATCATTCAATAAAGTACTCCATCGAATGAATGCTAGTTAATTTTATTCAAAACATCCATTTTTACACATGACCTTCATCCAGGGATATTGAAGGGAAGGTTTGAGACTACTTCTGTGTAATTGACAATTTTACATCAAAAATAAGGGATAGATAATAGACACATTTATATGTATACACATGCATGCATATATACATACATACCATACAGAAAATGTGCATGATTATTTTCTCTGGAAAACTTAATGTTCAGGAAAAAGAAATCAGGTGAGAATATGACTTTCACTTATGTCCATAAGCCAGGAAAGCACTTTAAAAATAAATTTAGTTTTATTTGCATCTACTGATAGCAGTAAAAACTATTGGCTTTTTAATTACTAAAGATCTTAAGGAATTCCATATGGAGCACTTTTTCTGAGTGTTTTGTTCCTTCCTAGAAGGCTTTAAGTTATTGACATTTTGTTATTGATTTATTTAGTACACATGCCTTTCATCTGCACATTTTTATTCTTTTTTTTCCCCCTCCCTCTCTCTTTCTCTCTAGTATACTATATGGACTGCCCTCTGGGTCACCTGGAATGTGTTCATTATCTGCTTTTATCTGGAAGTAGGTGGGCTTTCTAAGGTAAGTGCACTTTAAAAGAAAATACAATGACTAATAACTATTACTACTAAATTATATGCATATACATTTATTAATCTAAACAACATTAAAAATGGAATACTGAAAAATTAGTTTTAGTACCATTTAGGAAAAAGTGAAACCAGGAGTGTGTTTATTTAAAGCAACCTCGAAAAATGGTCTCATGGTTAATTTTTAAAACTATGGTGAAACTCAGCTTCAAGCATATCCTCATATGCACATTAACTAGTCCTAATGTCACAATCTTTCAGCCCTATATGTTACATGAGAATTGTTTGAGTTTAATGTGTGTAAAGTGGGGGAAAAAAGAGGAGCTAATTTCAAATATAACAAATATGAATAGCCAGATGTTTTTTGATTGAATATTAACTATGAAATAAAGATTTGACAATGAAATCCTTATAAGTGTATAGAGAGCCTGTATTTATACTCGTATGGTGATTCTTCATTTGAATCCTGATCAGAGAGAAGAGTTGTCTTAACACAACATGACACAAAGGTTGCTTCTGCCACCCAGTTTTCATTATGCTTCATATGTTCAGAAGACACTTCCCCATCAACTATAAGATCATCTTTGATTACGTTTCTAATTGTGTTTCTTAAACATTTTTTCTCTAAACCAGCATGATTTTTATGTGTATAAATTGTGGGTGTGAAAATTGTGTAATTACAAAACAACAGTATGGTTACCAAAAAACTAAGTCTTTTTAAATCTCTCACTCCCAACTATATTTGTGCTTAATTTGTTGTCGTGTAGCACCATCATATTTTCTTAACAGTGTCATTGTTCTCATTAACACCAGTGGTTTGAATCTTAGAAAAACCTGGTTGAGCAGAATAGATGCTTTCAGAAATATACGGTTTCACTGAACTTCATTTGTAACAAATAATTATTTGAATTTTTTAATCAGTCAAGCCGCAAATAACCCTAAAAAATTTTCTTCAGAACACCCAGAAGTGGTTAATCTTTGCTTTATATCATAGTAACTGTATCATTAGAACTTTTTGTCATTTTCTCACAGTAGCAAATGTATGCAGGAACCAAAAATAACATTTCCAAGTCCTATGTAAATGCACTAACTGCTACCTTTAATATTGATGCTATTAATTGCATTTATCACTAATTTACAGCACAGGAAAAGAATATAAATCAGCATTTGGTTATCTTTTGTAGCATGCAGATTATAATTTTTAATGGATAAAATCATGAATAAAATGATTGTGAATAATAAGCTAAGCTAAAATTTCAGCTTGTAGCATTTTTAAATCTTATGTTTGAAGTCATTTTAAGCCATGTTCTTTATTTAACTGGAGAAGATTGTTTTCCATTTTCTTCTATATAAACTGATTTGGAATAAATAAGCCTAGAGGAATTTATCCTATGGCATTTTCATCATAGATTGTTGGAAGATAACTGAATTTCAAATCATGAGTCTTTAGTTCAAATTGTGTCTTTGTCACTTATTAACCATGCACCCCTAGGCCAATCATTTAACCCAGCTGAGACTCTGTGAAATATAAAAAGGGTTCAGCTTTGTCAATAATGATAATAATCAATGCTTGTTACTTGTTTAGCATTGTTTAACATTGTAAGCTTCAAAACAACTCTGTGAAATGATAAAAAAAAAAAACAGTAATAACAGCAATCATTTGTTCCATGCAAGTCTTATTTCCCTCAGTTCTTCAGGTTATTTTGTGATGTTTTGTATAACTGCTTTTCTAAGTGCATGCCAAGGATTTTTCACTCATTTCATTAGTGCAAAATTATTTTACAAAACTGTTACAGTAGGCCTAGTTACTTATTTGATTACTTATTCAAATGTCATTAAACAGTCACCCAAGTATTCTAGATCATTAAAAGGATAGATGACACAGAAAGGAGCATCCTAAAGATTTTCTGTTTCTCCTATTTACTGCTTTAAAGGCAGGCAACATCTCTCTGGTTAGACAACGTTTAGCCTCAGTTTCAATATGTAGGAAATAAATTCTGAAAAATAGGGAAGACTTAAAGATCCTTTATGAATCGAGTACCCCTATCCACTTTCACATCGGATAGTACTTCATAAATAATTTCCTTGCTCTTTTGTGATGATTCATATGGTAATATTTTAGAACTCCCCATCTTCTGATGTTTGTGAAGGCATTTCTTGGAAATACTTGCTAAGATAGATTAATAGATGATTTCCTATATCCTTTTTCTTGTTCATATTGTTTATTCTAAAATAATGAACTTTTCTTGGAAAAAAGGGGCCTATTTCATATTAATTCCCACATTCTTCATAGACCAAGGGCTTTTTTCAATAATAGGCATCTCTACCTTTCCTCAGTAACCTTCCAAATTATGTGCACACTGTGTCCAAGAACAACCATCGTTACGCCTACTATGGGAATTCTTTAGTTGAGCTTCAACATATTTCCTTTGCTCTTATACTCTTCACCAAATACCTGCATCATTCATTTGTCACTGGGATCTCAAATGCTCTGATTCTCCCCCAGATATTCTAGAAATGGAATGAAATATACTACTTTTATGAAATGTGTACAGGTATGGACCAATTTTGGGTAACTGTGGTTGTAAAACCAAAAAAAAGCACAAATTTTATAGTTTATTGAAAACCCAGTGGCTACACAATGAAGAAAGTAATAGAACTAGTTGTATCAGATTGTTCAAAAAATTAAGATATTTATAGCTTAGAAAACATTTTGTATACTCTATATTTTCAAAAATAGTGATTCTTCTCATTGTCAATGACATTATCATCTCTATTATCATTGAATAAATTAGCAGACATTACAATCCTCATTCTACAAACCTTTGGGATGTATATTTATTACTATGCAAGAGTTATAAAAGTGAATTACTAAAAAATATGTAACAGTCCCTTAGGATAGAACCTAAGATCTTCAGATTAACTCTATGGCTTTAACACTTAATTAAATTCCTTTCCTTCAACATGTAAATTGCTTGTTGGAAATACTTTTGCATCTGTATTCTCCTCCCTTTTTCTCTACTACTCCCCCAAGGAAAACTTTATGCCTCTTTAGAAGTCTCTAAGGTTGTCTTTCACGCCACAGTTTAAGATCATCAAGGGCACAATTAATAAGTTATTGCTGCTTCTTAAGAAATTGCAAGACCTGAGTTCCTTTTTCTTCCCTAGAATGTGAATATGAAAATCAAGCCCATTTGACATTTTTAAAAATACTGACAAACAAGCTTTGTTGAATATACACATTTTCTTTTTTTTAACATTTCAAATAAATTAAGCTGATTCATATCATGTTGATTTGACTACCTCTAATTATAAAAACTTTAGAGTAATATTCGTTTAACTAGATCCTGAAAAATGTGTAGAATTTACACATAAGGATCCTAGAGAATTTTCAGTGTATCATATTTTCATAAAATATGTTTTATATCATATGACAATATGTTAGTGTTATTTAAAATGACCAGTGAGTGCAAAGAAATTCCATGTTGATTTTTTAATAAGATTTGTTAAAAACTTATAAAAAAAAACTTCCTAGAAACTTACACACAGGGAGTGAGAGAAAGATGAGTATCCCTTATGCCAACTTCACAGGGAATAGACATTGCCTTTACCGAAAAGGAAAGCCTATTTCATGTGTTTATCTATTATGGTTTGAAAAAGTACTTATTTTCCATAGTGAGCTATGATTTGTGTGTATTTCAAGTCTTAAACAAAAATGAACCATGTCTCCATATAGCAATAATGAAAGCATGGTCTTGTCCTATTACAACTTCAAAAGTCACCCTTTTTCATGAAGCCCCACTTCCCTGGTGTGACTTTTCTTGAATATTTCATCTGAGCAACCAGCGGGAGGGGTCAATGAGATTATTCTTTTCCAAGGCTCATTCTTATTAACTAGCCTGAATTGTTTCTCTTCTTGCCGAGAAAAGTCCTTTTCTTGATCTAGATTTATTTTCCTTCAAAGCAAGATTCTTGCATTCACTTCTTTAAAGTGTGAAATTTTCAGAGAACTCAGGTTCTTTCTCCATAGGAATAATTGCATTAGAAAGAGAAGTCTCCAGTTTCTCTTAGTGGCTTAAAGTCTATCCACAATTTTTATAAAGATTCTCAAGCAAGGAATTATTTTTCTAAAAACAGATTACAAATGAATTCAGGATTATGTGGCATATAGCACAGCGGTAGGATGTTTGCCTTGCACGCAGCCAACATGGCCGACACGAGTTCGATTCCTCCGCCCCTCTCAGAGAGCCCGGCAATCTACCGAGAGTATCTTGCCCACACAGCAGAGCCTGGGAAGCTCCCCGTGACGTATTCAATATGCCAAACACAGTAACAAGTCTCACAATGGAGATGTTACTGGGCCCGCTCGAGCAAATCCATGAACAACGGGAGGACCGTGACCAGACCGTGACCATGATGTAAACAAATGCAACTTAGTATATTTACAAATAAGTTTTAAATTTAAAACTATTTTTTCTCTTAAGGCATTCTTCCTACCTGGATACTTTTCAAAAAGAATCTTAGAATGTAATATTTACAGAGGTCTAAATCTAGACTACAAAATATTCTTATGTGATGGTGCTTGAGAGATAGTCCAGCTGACAGGAGAATTACTTTACAGGTGACTGACCAGGGTTTGCTCCGTGGCACCCCATATGGTCCCCCTCACACTACCATGAGCGATCCTTGATCATGGAGCCAGGAATAAGCTCTGAGTACTGCTGGGTGTGACCAAAAATAAACTCTTATTTGAGAATGACATATGAGTAAAAGATAACGAAAATAACATCCTAGAAATCAGTAGGACTGTGTTTACTTTTGAAAATTCTGAAAATGTTATCCAATTTATCCTGTTTCATAAAGAAAATGATACATCTCTACCAGTTGCATACAATGAAAAATACATACATTTTTCTATATTTTACTATAACAGCAAAATTGTTCAGATTCTGAATATATTACCATGTATTCAATATAATGATTAAGAACATT